GCAATAATTAAATATGTTAAATAACACAAAAGTATCTAATCCCATTTTATTAACCAATGTCTTTGCTGCTGACCTTTGCTGATCCAGTTCAACCATACTAATAAGCAAAAATGACTTTAGATAAACTAACAATTGTGCTTCATTGTTTTGTTTTGTTTTATTGCTGAAGAGTGTTTCTTCTCCTGTGTTCTACTGTACAGATGTGAATTTACTTTTGCTTCAGCCTGAGGTTTATTCATTACACTTTTTGGTGTGAAAGGGCTTTTACATTTGCTATAAATAGAACTTCTTATATTAAAAACAATCAAGCTCTGTTCATATTTAAAAAGTAATGTGAAAGTAATGCAAAAGTAATATAACGCATTACTTTCCATAAAAAGTAACTAAGTAACGTAATTCGTTTCTTTTTTAGGGAGTAACGCAGTATTGTAATGCATTACTTTTAAAAGTAACTTTCCCCAACACTGGTTACATTTACTGTGTGCTTGCACTGTCAGATTTGACAATATTCTCTTTTAATCCAACATGTATTTTTTTTGTTGTAAATATGCATTTATTTTAAATGTCAGTACACTACAAGAAAGACTGAATTAAAGCGCATCTATAATGATATCTTTTTTCAACAAGGAAAATGTCACAGAAAAAATAACCAGGGTTTGTGAGAGCTTAAGTTTTGTTGTGGTGAGCTCTAATAGCCCTTGGTCTATATTAGTCCGACTGCTTCCTTGCCAATGGGCATGTTAATAACAGGCCGAGCATGTGTCTCATGTGGCCCAGGGGCTTCTGGGACAAATACATATGTCACTTGTTGTAGAGAAGACATTGAGCTTAGCGTTCAGACCTCACAAGACTCAAATCTATTCCTGCATTAAACAGTGTGTGGCCGATTCCCATGTGAACAGTAAGCTTTCATTCCACAGGTCTCCACAGAATTACACAAGTTCCTTCATGTCCCCTGGCCTTTGCTTATTTAAAGTGACGGTTCACCCATAAATGAAAAATGTATGTCATTATTTACTGACCCTCAGGTTGGCCCGAACCTGTATGAGTTTCTTTTTTCTGTTGAACACAAAATAAGATATTTTGAAAAGGGTGTGTAACAAAACAATAACCAAACTGTATAATTTTTTTTCTATACTACAGGGGCCAGTTGCATAAACTTAGCCTCTATGTTAAGACAGTGTCTTAAGTACTAGTCTGACCAACTAGCAGTTAACCAAAGGGTAATCAGTCTTTTTTTTTTTAGTTCAGCTTTAGTTCAGACTAATCTACATTTTTATTTAACTGAATAAAAAAAAAAAAGAAGTTGTCTTAAAGAAAAAAAAATTAGCTGACAAATTTTTAAGACTAGTCTAAAACATTTATGCAACCGACCCCAGAGAAGTCAATGGCTACCGTCAACTGTTTGGCTACCAGCATTTTTCAAAATATCTTAATTTGTGTTCAATAGATAAAAAAAAAATTCATACAGGTTTGGAACAACTTGAGGGGGAGTAAATGATGACAGAATTTGGGTAAACTACCCCTTAGTTACCCCTCTGTTATTACAGAGTATTAATCATTTTACTATGTTTAAATCCATTCCACAAAATTTAGTAGATTTTCCCTCCACGTTTGGACATTTGCTTTGATCTCTGCTGCCCCCTGCTGGCTATTCTAGCACACATCCATAGCAGTCAAGTTTTTTTTTGCTCTGCAGAAGTGTCACAAACTCACCTCGGGATAAGACCACTCTGGAGAATAGTCTGTCACCACAAACAGCCTTCCGGTAGCCTGTAACATTCCCATGTTTCCATGCGCGACAGCTGCCGACACGGCCTCGGCCACCTGCATATATGCCAGCTGTCCTGCCTCACCCGCCACTGCCCCAGCCTGCGTAGACTGAGGGCTGCAACAGGACTGGAGACAGAGGTCTGCAGAATTGTACCCCCTTGCCCCATGAGTTACTTCGTCTGCACCTTGTTGTGCTGCAGTTCCAGAGGAGACCTGCCCCTCTGTTCCCGAATGGGTCATCAGCTGATGGCTGTAGAGAGCGTTGGCGCCCGCCACTACCGCCGTTCCGCTTCCACCTTCTACCGAAATGAAGTCATTGATGAGATCTGAGAACTGATTCCCGAAGGAAACGTCAAAGTGGTCCAGATTAATCTCCATGGAGCCCCCTCCGTTGGTTCCACTACTGCCCAGGCTCTGGTGGGCGCCCACGGTGCTAAAAAGCCCCTGCACCAAACCGGCTCCTTGCAGGAGCGGCTGGAGCTGTTGATTGGTGGTTCCACTTGCCTCGGTGTCATTGCACAGGTTTCCACTTTCTGCCCTCGCGCTCGTTCCTCCAGATCCCGGCCCGACTCCACCACCTTCCGTTGGTTGCTGGAGGTAGTGCTCTGCGCCTCCTACACCCTCGGCTTCTCCTCCTTCACCAGTCTGCAAGTGCTCCCCTGGTTTCATAAGACCATCCGAGTCCTTCTCTTGAACACCTCCTTCTCCTTGTTCTGCTCCTATTGGCTGTTCCAAACCACCCACTTCCTCATGCTCCTGACACGGTGTTGGAAAGCGGTTCTGGTACTGCAGAAGCTGGAGCGACCCAGCTGGTCCATTACGTTCGGTTGGAGAGCCACCGTTGCAGTTAGAGGCAGTGCGCTGGCTGGGGTGGGTATGATGATGGTGGTGGAGATGCCCATTAGTTCCCGTTGAGTCCGTCTTGATGACAGACAGGCCCATGTAGACATTGGAGTCATGAGAGTTCTGGGTCGAACTGGAGTTGTTCTGGGTTTGGGACTGTGGTGAACCTTGCAGGAAGAAGCTGGGGGAGTGACTCTGGTGTGCCAGGTGAGAGCTGGAGATTGACTGGCCGTAGCCCGCCTCTGACATAACACTGGATGGGTAGTCTTGCTTGGCATCAATTGCACAGAAATCCATCTGCTCAAGGGTAGTGCTGGGACTGAGTCCACCTCCAGATGGCAACAGTGAACCAGTGGGAGTCAGAGCCAGGGAGGTTTGGGCCGAACCGCCGTTTGAGGAACCGGACATACTGACAGCACCGTTCACCCCTTCTCCAACCTGATAGCCACTCTCTTTCGCCAGCTGCTGTTCAAATGACATGTCCTCCGTTTTGATGTTCTTCACTAGAGAGGTGTTGAAGATGTAACCGTTGTCGTTGAGCGGCGGGGAACACTTCAACCCTCCGTTACTGCAGCTGCTCCCATTGCTGTCCTCGGTTTTCAGCCCATTCCCTCCGTAGGTCTGACCTTGCTTGGGGTTGTTGAGGAAGCAGTCAGGGTCAAAGTTCATATTAGTCTCAGGCAGCTTAATACTCCCAGATTCCAGGTTACTAGACAGCAACAGTTCTTCAGACACACTGGCTGTGGACAGCATAGCAAGTCCGTCTGTGGACCCTGCGTCTGCTAACCCCACTCCAACTGCTCCAGCAAAGGCAAATTTGTGACTGTCAGCTGCCACTGCTAACACCAGACTGCTTGAGGCTGTGTCGGGCCCCAGGAGGTGAGTGTTGGGGTCTACAGTCGGGGACATGCTATAGACAGGGTCTCCAGAGACGTCTGACATGAATACATTGGCGGACTGAGACAGGCTGCTCATTACCGAGGCTACATGGCCCATTCCTGTCACCACGGGACTGTCGGCCATATCGGGGTCGGAGTTTAGCCCACTGCTAATGGAGACGGGTGAGCTCTGGGTGGTATCTGGCACTTCCACCTGGTTGGATGAGGACACCTCCATACTGTTCTGATGGAGCAGTGCTGGCTTGTGCACCTTGCCGTTCCTTTTCTCTCGGCCGCCCGTTCCACCGGCGCTGTCTGCCCCTGCCCTGCCGTTTTTGCCCCCACCGTGGCTGTGCTCCGTCTTTCCCTCTGACACGTCGTTGTTCTGAACCTCGGAGTGGGTGCTGCTGTAGGCGCCTCCAGTGCGTGGGTCCACTTTTGGGGAGATGATACGGTGTTTGGCACTGTTGCATTTGTGATGCAGGCTGCTCCCAGCACCTACAGAAAGCAGACACATTCTAAGTTATGTTAGAAAATATTTCTATTTTGAATATATGCTCTTCTTTTTAACTTTTTATTCATCAAAGAATCAAAGAGAAAAGTATCACAGGTTCCAAAAAAATATTAAGCAGTACAACAGTTTCAACACTGATAATAAATCATCATATTAGAATGATTTCTGAAAGATCATGTAACACTAAAGACTGGAGTAATAATGCTGAAAATTCAGCACTGCATCACAGAAACCTGATATTTTAAAGTATATTAAAATAGGAAATCAATATTACAAATTGCAATAGCATTTCACAATATGACTGTTTTTTCTGTATTTTTGATCAAATAAATACAGCCTTTTTGAGCATAAGAGACTCCATTTACAAATATTAAAAATCTTACTGATCGCAAACTTTTGAACAGCATTGTATATTCTAAGAAGTGTTGTTTAAAATACACAAAAATACATAATTATGAATTAAAATTATATAATTAAAATATATATTACAGTAAATAATTATAAAAATATATTCAGATAAAATATAATGTTAGTTATCATGAGTTGAACATTAAACTGTCTGAAAATATTTGTGCTATATGGTGGAGAAAATTTAACTGACTCAAGTGTCATCTGTCAGTGCGATTTCAGAGAAGATTAATGCACTCGTTTCATAATCCATTTTGTTTAATGTAAATGCATTAATCAGTGTCTGACAGTAATTAGTTTGGTTCGAAATAATTTTTACTTGACTCATTAGTACCATCTACTGGCCATAATCTATACTAAACCTGAAAAGATGATGGAAAGTCCAAATGTAAATAATATATGGTCAGATTTATATTTAAATATAAATATATTTTATAATACCTTACAGTGAAATCACTGTTAGATAAATTGATTAATGGCTATAAATAAAACCCACATGCGTTCTTATAGAAGGAGAATAGAATGAATCAACAGTCATACAGTAACAATATACTGTAATAAAACAAATGTGGACAGAAGCTGAGATCATTTGGTATTGGAGGAATTTGATGAGAAATGAGTTCATAGTGAAATCTCTGACTTGTTTGCACTGTTTAAGACTGTTACAGGTGTCTTTTACTCAGGAGACAAAGCTTTTTCAGAGAGTTTTCTTTAATGAGATAATACAGAGATATCAACTGGGGTCCGGTTCCCTTACCCAGGTTTCCCGTGCAGAGGCAGTTGTGAGTCCGGGGAGGTGGTTTGGTCTGGTGGCTGTCCAGAATTTGCTGCACGAGCTGCTCTGCTGAGAAGCCAGTGCTGCTATTCCCGTTGCTGCAAGTCCACTTGATGCCATGAACTGCCGGGAGAGAGGAGGAGACACAGACGTCAGCCAGACAGCCACACAGACCAGCACCTCGCCAGCACCTCCCTACTGACACTGCAGGGGAGAGACGGCCTAACTGCCCCACCACTGTCTACGTGACTGTCACTCATCACAGGCCCAATCCCTCAAGTGTTCTGCCTTTTCCTACAGAAGTGTTCCGGTGTCCTGACGTTTTCTCCTGCCCGTCAGATTTTCCTACCAGGGTTTACTGCGCATGCACACATCAGTAATGCATAATTTTTCTCACACTGAACGACGATAGTTACTGTATTTGCATTACTGTAAGGGGTAGGTTTAGGGTTGGGGTAGGTGTAGACATAATTAAAACACAATCTAATAGGTAGAAACATTTTTTTATTGTTGGTTTCCGGCCGTAGCTGTATCCTTTCTAGCCACAACCCTGAATAACACATAATTACTGTATTTGCATTACTGCAAGGGTAGGTTTAGGGTTGGGGTAGGTGTAGACGTTAATAAACCATAATTTGACAGGTAGCATTTTTTTTTCATGAACAATAATTACTGTATTTGCATTACTGTAAGGGGTAGGTGTAGACGTTATTAAAACACAATCTAATAGGTAGAAAAATGTATTTATTGTTGGCCGTAGCAGTATACTTTCTAGCCACAACCATGAACAACAGAATAATTACTGTATTTTCATTACTGTAAGGGGTAGGTTTAGGGTTACAATAATTACTGTATTTGCATTACTGTAAGGGGTAGGTGTAGACGTTATTAAAACACAATCTAATAGGTAGAAAAATGTATTTATTGTTGGCCGTAGCAGTATACTTTCTAGCCACAACCATGAACAACACAATAATTACTGTATTTTCATTACTGTAAGGGGTAGGTTTAGGGTTGGGGTAGGTGCAGACATAATTAAAACACAATCTAATAGGTAGAAAAATTTATTTATTGTTGGTTTCCGGCCATAGCTGTATCCTTTCTAGCCACAACCATGAACAACACATTTGCATTACTGTAAGGGGTAGGTTTAGGGTTGGGGTAGGTGTAGACGTTCATAAACCATAATTTGACAGGTAGCATTTTGTTGTTGTCAAACTGTACTACCTACTGTTTTAATAAGAGGTAGCAAAATCTGACAGGGTAGCACAAATCAACGGGTTGAAGCATCTGTGACATGCTTTTGATTACTACTGATATAATTTTGTCACATCTCTAAGGGGGAGTTTACATGACACCGTTTTAAAAACAAAAAAAACGTTTTATGCATCTTGGCCGTACTTTCTAGCCACAACCATGAACAACACAATAATTACTGTATTTGCATTACTGTAAGGGGTAGGTTTAGGGTTGGGGTAGGTGCAGACATAATTAAAACACAATCTAATAGGTAGAAAAATTTATTTATTGTTGGTTTCCGGCCATAGCTGTATCCTTTCTAGCCACAACCATGAACAACACATTTGCATTACTGTAAGGGGTAGGTTTAGGGTTGGGGTAGGTGTAGACGTTCATAAACCATAATTTGACAGGTAGCATTTTGTTGTTGTTAATAAGAGGTAGCAAAATCTGACAGGGTAGCACAAATCAACAGGTTGAAGCATCTGTGACATGCTTTTGATTACTACTGATATAATTTTGTCACATCTCTAAGGGGGAGTTTACATGACACCGTTTTAAAAACAAAAAAAACGTTTTATGCATCTTGGCCATTCATTGGCATAACAAACTTTTGAAAATGGGTTTCAAAGTGCACGTTTTCGAAAGTTATAGTCAAGTCAAGTCAAGTCACCTTTATTTATATAGCGCTTTTAACAATACAGATTGTGACAAAGCAACTGAACAGCATTAATTAGGAAAATAGTGTGTCAATAATGCAAAATGACAATAGTAAACACTCATTTTTCAGTTAAAGACAGTTCATCATTGAATTCAGTGATGTCAACATCCAGCTCAGTTCAGTTTAAATAATATCTTTGCAATTATGTCAACGATAACGCTGGAAATGAAGTGTCCCCAACTAAGCAAGCCAGAGGCGACAGCAGCAAGGAACCAAAACTCCATCAGTGACAGAATGGAGAAAAAACCTTGGGAGAAACCAGGCTCAGTCGGGGGGCCAGTTCTCTGACCAGACAACGAACCAGCAGTTCAATTCCAGGCTGAAAGTTATACTGTTATTGTCTTCGTGCAAATTACAAAAACGCAGTGATGTCATGTATTACGTATTCACATAGTGTTTCTTTACAAAGTGACATCGCCAGCTACTGGCCTGGCATACATAATACAGCATTTTCAGTTGTTTTCATGGATCTGTGTGAACGGGGAGCATTTTATGTGAAAAATGCTGGTTTACACATGGTTGTCGTGTAAACGTACCCTCAGTTCGCAAAAACAACTTTGTTTGCAGTAATGCATTTACAATGGAAGTCTATGTGGCAAAACATTTCATAAACTTTAAAAGCACAATGTTTAAATTGCTAATATATAATAATAATATATATATATATATAATATATAATGAAATTCTGGTTATTTTAACTTTGTAAACTTGCATGTATCATGCAAAAGTTACCAGGATTTATGGCTGTACTCGGAGATGACAGGACGTTTGGATATAATATTTTGGAAATATTTAATATAACCTTGGTTGCTTTTATTTATTTATTTACTTTTTTTTTTGACTTGAAGATGGTAAAATGCATTAAATGGAGTGTTAAAGCATTACATAGCAGAAAAAAATTCAGGTTACACAAATTATTAAAAAGATTTTCATAGTGTTGAAGATGTGTAGAATTTAAATTCTGTGAAATCTGCATATAACTTTGTACAGATAGGATTAGAAAGTTATTAACTAATTACACTATCACACCACTCCATGTGCATGCATATAATGTATTTTAAGCATTTATGCAGTGCCTTAGCCCATATACTTTCACTGTAAGTGCATTACTGTACACAAGGTGCCCCCCCGGTAATCAATTAAATGTCACAGATGCTGTCCATAAAGCATAAAATTGGTATTCAACTTGGAACATTCACAAAGTGTCACAAAAAAATGCTTTTTACGTCTATATGAGCCATAACTCAGGTGACTGGAGATAAACAAGTGCTGTTTCAGATCACTCAAACACTCAAATGTACTACAACAACCTCAAAACAATGCAGCGATGTAGTCTGATAAAGCAAAACAGTGCAACACTGACATCTGCTGGGCATTTTGAAGTACTACAGCTAATAATGTGTATTATAAGCCTGAACCACTCTCTCTTACTAGGGTGACCATACGGGCCATTTTCACGGGACGCACCCTTGCCAGGATTTCTATATCGCCTAAAATATCCAGGTTTTGGCTGTTAGCACTGTGCAGATCGATTGTTGTATGACATTATTTCACGAGAGCTATAGACAGCAGAGCAGGCGGTACCTTATGCTTTCAAAGTGCTCTAGCAGTACTTTGGTGTCATACACTGATCTATGGCAAGCCGTTTTAGCTTAAAATATCCCCAGCGTTACTCGTCGTAATTGCATTTTTGCTAGTAACAATTCAATTAAAGAGCTCTAAGCTCTACAATTAAATTCTTACTAGTAACAATTATAATTAGAGAGCTCTCTAACTGGCATTGTTACTAGTAAGAACTGATCGGTGTGCAGCTTCGAGTCGAACGAACAAACAAACAAACACGTGCGCGTATTTGCATCGCTTTGATCGTTCTCACCTCCTCACTCGAGACGCGCCACGATTGGTCGATTATGTACAATACCCGCATGTTGGTCAAACTACTTTGGATGTTTTAGGCAATATAAAAATGATGACCAGGACGTGTCCCGTATAAATGGCACATATGGCCACCCTATCTCTTACTCTCTCTTTGCTGTTTCATGTGCAGGGTGTTTTAGTAAGGAGGCTCTGGGCACTGGTTTAATGAGTTGAAAGCATCACAGATCTATATGCTAAAGCCATCTTGTTTGCTAACTTCTAATGTTAATAGAAAACACAGCATGGAACCATGGAGCTTCATCTACTGAGAGCATAATTTTTAATCTTTCAGTCCAGAAATAAACATCACAGTCATCTGACACAATCCAATTAGAGACACTCAGAGAAGAACTTCATGATTTTAGTCAATACAAATCAGTGAGAGAGCTGCATTACACAGCTGCTTACATATATATCATGCACAACACACACACACACACATATGCGCGTGCGTGTATATGTGTGTGTATATAGTCTCACAAAACCAGTCAAGCATAAGTCCGGGTCATATTTCAGACCAATATTAAAAGCAAAAAATGATATACAATTTCGCTTATAGGAAGCAAATTTTGCATTGACTTTTTCATGAAAATTAAGCACATTTTGCCCTCAAACTTTCATTGTGTTTTAGTAAGGAGGCTCTGGGCACTGGTTTAATGAGTTGAAAGCATCACAGATCTATATGCTAAAGCCATCTTGTTTGCTAACTTCTAATGTTAATAGAAAACACAGCATGGAACCATGGAGCTTCATCTACTGAGAGCATAATTTTTAATCTTTCAGTCCAGAAATAAACATCACAGTCATCTGACACAATCCAATTAGAGACACTCAGAGAAGAACTTCATGATTTTAGTCAATACAAATCAGTGAGAGAGCTGCATTACACAGCTGCTTACATATATATCATGCACAACACACACACACACACATACGCGCGCGCGTGTATATGTGTGTGTATATAGTCTCACAAAACCAGTCAAGCATATGTCCGGGTCATATTTCAGACCAATATTAAAAGCAAAAAATGATATACAATTTCGCTTATAGGAAGCAAATTTTGCATTGACTTTTTCATGAAAATTAAGCACATTTTGCCCTCAAACTTTCATTCTGTAAGTAAATAAATACATAAATACATAGACAGAGATATTCTTTAAATTGTTCTACTGAATGCACATTTAATTCATCAAGTCTTCTATAAATAAATCTATAATTTTAACTTTGGACAGGTTGTGTTTGTGTACTGAATTATGAATCTAATTAGAATGATTGAGAATCAGTGTTATTTTAGTATAATTGAGGTTATGTTATAGTTTTTTAAACATATTTTTGTATTTTTCATTTTTCTTTTAATTTGAAAGATTTAGTTGTGTTATCATTTTTCTTGATCAATTATTGTTTTATATATATATATATATATATATAGTTTTTATTTATTTTTATTTAACTTCAGTTAAAGATATTTTTGTATTTTTTTCCATTTTCGTTTTCATTTTAAAGTTTCAGTTGTATTTTTATTCTGTGTTTGTCATTTTTTTTATATCACTTTTTAGTTTTTTTAATTATATGCAGTTTTTATTTGTTTTAGTTATTTTACTTCAGTTAAAGCTTTATTTTTTATGGTTTCAGTTTTAAGTAACTACAATAACGATGTTGAGAATAATTACATTTGCACTCAAAAGCAAAATATTCTGGACAGTAAATTATTCTTATTATTAATCAAATTAAAAATATGCTTAATTTACATAAGAATAAAATAAATTACATTTTCTTTTTGCAATACATCAATGGTGTTGCTATTGCTTTGCTGACATTTTAAGATATTTTTGAGCTGAATTACACACATCTAACCAGAATGCCCCTTTTATGCCCAGTACATATATGGGTCACATCAGGGCCACATTTGATCTGAATAGCCTGTCATTCAAAATACAGTCAGCCACCTCCAAAATTTGAGTTCCAGCTCAGATTTCCCTGTGATTTCCTCCTGTCAGCAGAGGGTGGCAGTCCTGCACCGTCACTGAGCTTCACTCACGGAAGGTCATTCAAAGAGATGATGATGATGACGAGGATGATGTGAGAAGCTTCTCCTGCCCTTTCAGCGCTGCACTACCACATCATGAAGTTAATGACTCATTGATGTGTTCAGATTTAAAAGTCACTCTAATATTACAAGAAAAATAACTGCTGTGAATGTACAGAGAGTGTCAATGTGTGAGCATTGACAGTGAAAAACACGGCCAGCTGGTTTTGTAAAGTTAAAAGCACAGGTGACCAGAGAATAGGGATTTTTTTTGACACTTTAAATGTCAGAATGCCACTGCATTAGATATAAAATATGAAAACAAATGGCATGTTTTTATATTGTATTATCTATTGCAATGACATTCAGATTTTAAAGTGTAATTTAAGCATCCAAATACTGTTTTAGGCCACTGTAGATACAGATTCATCTTCTCTGAAAGAACCATGAACATACAGCCATTAAATAAATAAATAAACAGTATTATTTAGATTTTTTAAATCAAGGTAAAAAAAATTCATTTGCATATAGAATATTTGTATTATATTTTATTATACCTTTTTTATATTATTAATATATATATATATTTTAAATAAAAAATATATTTTGTTGCACAATATTATATTAATAATATTAATTATAAATAATAATTATAATATAATATGGGCCACATCATATATATATATATATATAATGGATAAAAAATGACAAACACAGCAAAACAACACAACTAAAACTTTTAAATTAAAATTAAAATGACCTCAATTATACTAAAATAACACTGATCCTCAATGATACACTGCTATACAATTATGGAATTAATGGAATTATTACAACAACGTTTAAAATTGCTCATTCTTCCACAAAATTAATGATTTTTAACATTTTTAACACTGCATTGGACAAAAAAATATCAAAACAAGATAATGCAATGCATTGCATTATCTTGTTTTGCTATTTTTTGTCCATGGTCATGGAATTCAGTTTCATATTTTAAGTGTGTATTAAGTGTCCAAATACTTTTTGGGGCCACTGTAGATACAGATGAATCTTCTCTGAAATTACCATGAATATATAGCAAATAAACTAACTTGATCCAACTGAATAGCTTTTCTATATCAAGCATATTATACTATTATACTGTATTTGTAGACATGTAGTTTGACACTCACACATGGGTTTGAGCTGCCCGATGAGTTCTTCCTTGGTCCATTTGGCCCACTCTTTCTTATCCGTGTTGATGGAGCACAGGATGGGCCCGCACGGTTTCCCACAATCCTCTATGGCGGGCACGTTCAGGTAGTGGACCAGCACAATGTCAGGGTTCTGAAGAGAGAAAAAGAAAAAGAGAGAAGCTGATGAGATGAAAGACTGCACATAATGAGGGGAGAAGGAAGTGAAGACAAAAGTGAGTTTAAATTGACACAGAAGGAGAACAGCGACAGGAAAAGTTCCTGCTCAAAAGAAAGACCAACATTTTTTTCATTGGGTCTATGGAGAAGAATTAGGAAACATGTCTTGAATAAAACATGGTAAATTCTGAAGCGTGGGATGAAAGATTATAAAAATCATGGTAAACAATATAATTTGAGACCAAAATATTTCTAATTCTATTTTATTAATCTATATATATCTTTAAATTTATCTAATACATTTATAAAATTTTTATTTTTCATAAAATATATATTTTATTGCACATGCTATATATATTTACAATATTTTAATTTTAATATTTCATTACAATCAATTGATGGTTGCCATTGACTTCCATAGTGTGTGTGTGTGTGTGTATATATATATATATATATACTTTTTTTATACATACAGGCTGATGATAACCATTGAATTCAATGCTATTTTTTCCAAGTCAATGGCTACCGCCAAATGTTTGGTTCCCAATATTTTGACAGAAAAAAAACACACGTTTGAAACAATGTGAGGGTGAGTAAATGATGTCAGAATTTTCATTTTTGGGTGAACTATCCTTTTAATTGTGAATATTTAGAATCAAAATGCACAATCTGAGCCGATCATACATAAAATGTGCTGAATATATGGAATTTAAAAAATGTGTAAAATGTTATTTTTTCCACAGAATTAATGGTAATTTGAGATATGATGGAAATGACATTCATTGGTTCTGAGAAAAAAAGAAGCCAAATTCATAACACATTCATAACAATTTAACATTTAGGTAAATTTGTAGCATATGTATTTGTATAATCTGCCCTGAGGTTTAGGCTCATGCCTGATTTTCTTCTAAAAACCATGTATTTCTGTACAAATCGCATCATACAAAATTGCCACTGTTACATTTTTGTAACTATTGAGATCAGGCTAGAATTCTTCAGTGATGCATGACATATACGGGTATGCTGATATATCTTGGCAGCAGACACATTAAATTGGTGGACAAATTAAAACTAGTGTGTTATGAAAGCATGTTTTACAGGAGTCCACGGGGTCAAAAGTGCATGTAGTTAAAGAAACACCAATATACAGTGAAATTAACCCATGCAATTACAAGTCCATCTAAACACACACACACCTCAGCCACAGTGGAGGAGCAAAGGCGTTAAACGTCAGGTCTGCGAGATGTTTTGCGTTCGGTGGCATGGAGGTGGGAGTCGTTAATTGGCAAGCACGCGAGAAAACACAACAGTCTCCCATTCTTCGCCCGAACTCCCCGGAGCAGATGCCCCCAATTAACTTCTAAGTATTTACCAACATCAAAACATCGCAATTCATGCCAGCTCAGAATTACGGCCATAAATTATCCTAATTGACAGCATAAGAGTAATAGGTGTTGTTTAAAGCTCAGCTGCTATAAGCATGAGTCGTGGGTGTGAAGGGGATGCGTGGAGCTTTGGGGCAGAAATCCAGCAGCTTCGAATGACTAATCAAACTGAAGCGCACAGATACACTCAAAGGACACGGCTGATACATGCAGCTATAGACTTAAACCAACAAGAAAAACAGCCAGGAGTGTTGTGCATTTTATGCTCCTCTAGCCAAGAAAGTGGGAGAAATGTAGTTCATATACTGCAAAAAAAAATTTGTGGAATCAAGATAAATTTAATGATTTCAAATAAGTTTTGTCGTCTAAAATTTTTTTTCGAAATTGAGTATATGTTTAAAACAAGAATATCTGCCAATATATCTTGATTTAAGAATGTTTAGATATTTGCTCCAGAAAACACAATTTTAAGTTTTTTTATTTTTATTTTGCAGTATATTGTTCATATTTAGGGTTAGTGCTTTACCAGTCATATTTATTCTCCGAAACATTATCTAGTTTATAATCAGGGTTGAGAGCAATCATTTTAATAATCCCAAGAGTTCCTAATCCTATTTTTATTTTGAACAGTCAAACTAAAAACTTTTCAGACACCAGATATAATTTTTGATATTTTTTTTACTAGTGAGTACAGGACGCTACAGTTCATTTACGCAAGCGAGGATAGCAAAATAAAGTAAACTGTGACATATTATTCTTCATACAGTGGACTACCAGTAAAATTGATAAAAATTTGGGACCAAAAATTATTCAGACACTTTGACCTGACCATGTTTTGCTTAAGTATTTTTTCTTTAATTGCTAATGCAACCTTTTTACACCACAGATTAAACTAAATTAAGCATTGCTTGGTGACTGGTTGAACTAAATTGGTATTATCTAATTGTGTACTTAAATTTAACAGCTGACAGCTATTTAACCTAATGCATTACATACCTTTCTATCAAAGTTATCTGATATTATCAAGATGAAATTGGTCTGTTCTTGTGATATTTTATAACTACAGTGAATAAACTGTGATAATGTGAGAAATGTTAAAGGTGTCTGAATAAATTTAGGCTCGACAGTATATGTATTGTTGGATTTAAATGAATGAATTTTGTTGCTCTTATTCCGTTTTTTTAGCTGCCGACCTCACTGAGCCATACAGAATTTTGTTACAAATCTTCATCTACATCTGAAAGCACAGCTGTATGGAGGGAAAGGAGGTGTGGGAGCTCAGACAGAGAGAAATGTTGCAGCAGCGGGTGCTTGAGCCATTTTTGAAGCTTTGTCAATGTTAAAGCAGCATTATGTAACTTTTGGCTCGCTAGCGGTTAATAAACAGAACTGCACACATCCCGCAGAAGAACATTCCAAGCGGAGCTACTTCTCTAAGTTCCCTTTCAAGGGAACTTCGAACTGCGTCCTCTAGGGGTCGCTATGGGGAACGCCTCGTCGTGACCCGTGTCTGAAGTATACATTGAAAAAACACCAACAACATGTTGGCCGGCGACAGCCCATGACATCACTACTGGTGACATTATAGTATAAATAGGCGCCGGGAGAACATGTCATTCTCTTGTTCGTCTTCACTGACCATTTTGTTTGAAGCGTGCATTTCCGTGGTAAGAGCGATCTATATTCCTATCGTTATGGCGAGCACTAGCAAAGCGTTTAGAGGGTGTGTGCATCCGCGTCGCCATTATTTGACACCTGATGACACACACGATCTCTGCGTTGTTTGTTTGGGCCAAGACTCATTGTCCTTGAGGGTGCAATCCGCGTTCATTGTGAGCGTATTTTAATGAAAAGCTCCACTCTCGTTTGTCTTGCTTTTCGAGGAAAGGGGGGCAGCCATATGCTTCCCGCGGCTCAGGACCCACCGCTGCTGAGGCGCGGAGGAGGATGGGCTCCTGGGGATTGCATGTGGATCCGGCTGATGAGTTTAAAAAGGGGGTTTCCCTCTCGCGCTCGTCGGCTGTGGCCGAGAGTAAGCTGCTGGAGGATGATGTTATTTCTTTAACATAATTTGATCCGGGGGCCGGTGCTCTGCTGGGTTCGGCCCGGTAAGAGCAGGAGATGTCTGAGGACGGCGAATAAGCTGAGGCTGAGCCTTCCCAATCCTCCTGCTCTGCGTATGGTGACTTTTGAGCGTTATCTTTCTTACGCATTAATCGATTCTAGCATATGAGTTATGCCAACATTGAGGCGATGCGCGGAAACGACTATGAGAGGATGCCCCTGTAAAAAAGACGACTGGTTAGCTATCTTTCTATGGGTGAGCCGTCCTCTCTTAAAACTCCCTCCTTGCCATCTCGCTTAGATGGCAGGGCATA